GTATTCGTTTGCAATGCATATGCCTTATGTTCAGGGGAAGAAGGTAGTTTCTCTCTTGTTTTTTTTTTCTTTTTTTCCGGCTTCTGCAGGCTTCTTCTTTGGTGGGTTATCTGCAGGCTACCCTGTGGACAAGATGGATGTACGACTTTTGAATTCTGTTTGTTTTTTTTTTTGTGCAATTTTGGAATTTTCCTTGTCATTTCTGATTTCGTCTTGGACTTAGTTGAAAACAAGAGGAGCGAGAAGAGAAGGGAATAGGCGGGCAGGAAGGCCATATCAATCCCAAAGTAGTGCTTGTAGACCAAATCAAAACATAGAGGCCTTGCACAAGGTGGGTCATCTGAGCTTTCACGATATTTCACGATCGGCCTTTCACTTGGTCGACGTGTTGGAAAAATATGAAGATGCTTGATGTGTACATACAGTGTATGCTTCGGCTTGTGTGCTGTTGACTACAAAGAGGTTTTCTGACTGTGTGTGGTTTCCAATGCTTTCATTGCACAAGGGCTTTGTTTTAACAAAAAAAAAAAGGGCTTTGTTTTAACCAAAAAAAAAAAAAAAAAAGTAGCGTGGAGGGGTCAGATCCACTCTTCGTGCTGCGATCCGATTTCTATGGTCACTTGGGCTCGGCAAGAACTCCTTAGGTGTCGATGGAGGCGGGAGAAGAGGTTCAGAGAGATGGTGTGGGGAGGGACCAAGATCCAATAAGATCAAGAAGTAGAAGAAGGCACGAAGGAGGGCGAAGAGACATTTTGCCTAGGAAGGCGTGAACAAAGGGGAAGATTATCACTCGAAAGATTTGCATTCAAGAGTGTGGGCACAGGAATGCACGTGTGGGACCGAAAGGCACCAAAACTGTTGAGTGATGTATGAGTGGAAGGGTTGAGTATCCTTGATGGTTTTTTGATCAGGGAGTGCGGCGAAGAAGTTGGTGACGTCATGATAATAAAGCTCACATCATCTTCTTTGTAATCTTTGTATTGTGTGTGTCATGTTTTGAGTTGCACGAAATGGCAGTGAAAACTGCGCCTGATTCCTGCAACAAATTTGAAATTTGAAAAACCCAAAAGGAATTTGAGCACATTCCCTGAGGCGCACGAAAGAAAATGTCCTAGCTCCTTCTATGTATCCCTTCTCCGTCTCTTCCGCAACTATAAATCTCACAAGCGCGTCCCAGTCTCTCTCTTACGCTATCAGCCAACATGAGTGGAGTAGTGGCTAGATTTGTGGAAGGATAAAGTAAGGGAAATAGTGACGACCGTGATCACAAAGGCTTGCCTTCATGGATTACAGCTAAGTTGTTCTGCAATCAGCTATGAATGGTGTAGAAGAGAAATCCTATTGTTTGGCAACTGCTACATAATCATCGAGCATACACCAAGCAGATGAGCATTCAGTGCTTATGCCCTCACTATGTTTTGCCCATGGCAAATGAGCATGTGCAGTTTGATCTGTAAGATCTAGAACAGGTTGATAGCATCCTGCCATGCGAAGAACCAATCCACCTAATCTTTCCCTTACCACTCACTCTCAGGTTTATCAAGTTATTGGTTTCTTCATGCCTTCTTGCTCCCATGCATCTCTCTCTCTCTAACAGGTCAGATTTCACGTTGATGTGCATATCACTCGGCAAGATAAACAAGTAATTCAGTCGCAAATCGACACATTTGATTGATTCCTTACGTGATGGACTAATTGGGGAGGGAGAGAGAGAGAGAGAGAGAGAGAGAGAGAGAGAGAGAGAGAGAGAGAGAGAGAGAGAGAGAGAGAGAGAGAGAGAGA